AGGAGTCCGGGTGACGTTCTCCGGATTTCGTCGTTCAGGACATCAGAGTCGGCGAGGAACTCCGACTGTCGAATCCGTGCAAGTCGCTCCAATTTACGATTGTCCTGAATCCATCCACAGTAATCCGCGAATACGTTAAGGTTGTTCCAAATTCAGGTTGCTTTGAGTCTATTCAGTCTGTCCAAAGTGAATTCTTTGAGTACGCCTGTTGCATTGTTCTTTTATTGTACCATTTCGATGTTCGCGGTTAGGCCGTTTGAGCGGCATTTGTAGGCAATTTTTACTATTTGGTATCAATTGTTTTCTTCTCGTGATTGCGGACGCAACCATCCACAAATAAACTCCAAATTGCCGTTAAATTCGGTCGAATACAATTTGGTAGCCGACTTTACCCAACCCCTCTACGTATCCCACAGGGGATTTTCCTGAAAGAACAGGCCCCCTGTTCAGCAGAGCTCGTTCCGTACTATTACTCTGGCACCCATATTTTCTAGTAAGATTTTAAAGAGTGGCCCGAGCCCAGGGCAGGTGTTGTAAATCATAGCCAGCCAAACCTTTTGTGGCACCGGAAAAAGAAAACTGTATTTGACCGAACATACACCATCAGCCTACAATACACACACATATAGGCTGACTATTTCATATCACCTAATGAACGGACTACCAACTGAAAACTGAAAAATGCAAACTTTTTAATGAAAAAATAGACTTTAATAAAGACACTACAAAGTAAAAAAATACTGTACAAACTGTTTATCTACTAACTACTGTACGTTTCTCAGTATTTATTGTTTGGAACATTTGAAGTCAATGAAAGGAAAGAAAGGTAACCGTTATACTTCGTTTCTTTTTTTTTGCACCGGTTTCAAACTTTCCGAGCAGCAAATACTTAGAAATCTACAATAGTTAGTAGATAAGTAGTTTGTACATAATTATTTCTCACTTTGTATTGTCTTTTCTGTAGTCGTTTTTTTATTAAAATGTTTTTTGTGCTTTCATGTGGCCCGATTTGGCCAGTCATAGGGGGGTACATCTTAATCTACGGCAATCCCGTAGATTAAGATTGTCATATTTGAATTATATATATATTTTTTTTTTATTTTAGCGGTGAACGGTATCTTCGAGTAAGAGCGACGCGCAGCGACGCACAGATTAATGTTTCCAGATTTTGACTAAGAGGTCCAGATTCCCGAAAAAGGATCCTGCTGTCATCGCTCGTCAACCTCATTAATTAGGTGGCTAATTGACAACGGCCAATCATTAGAGAAGGCGGGCGAAGCGCGTGAACTAGATATTTTCGGACCCACCAAGAAGAAGACGGCTCTGGAAGAGAATATCATTGCCGAAGGGGCCGTTACTGAACGAACTCGCCACGTGCCATTTCCGTGACAAAGAGCACCTGATCGATCCGCTCTCGCAATATACCGTATCGACTCGTCCCGAAGGGCGCCGTATCGGCGTATCGGCGCCCTAACGGCGTTATTCCATCCCGATGCGGAGTATCGTATGAGGAGGCCTAAGCGCAGGAGCAGCACCAGTGAGCCTTAGCCAGCTCAAGTGGCCTCATCTACAACCGCCACGTACTGTCCTGACCCTGCGTCTTGAGCCGAAGCCTTGGTCGGCACAATCGTTCCGTCCTGCCATGCGTCGATTCCTGTCGTGCTCCGGAATAAAAATGTTCCGTTTCGTGCCGATTATCGTCTGCGTCTCTATCCAGCGAAATTCTTTGAGGGCGCGTGTAAATTATAGATCAGGCAGCGGCCATGTTTTTCCCGATCACTTGGCGAGTGTTTTTACCCTTTCCGCGTCTGTCTTAGACGGTTGTAACGGGATGCGTCTCGTCTCTTTTTGAAGTTCGTCAGGAGGTGACTTTCTCCTGCTGCCGTTTATCGTGGCTGCCGGGCGCCAGATCTGAGGAGGGGAGATGTGTAGCGTCATACCATGGGCTGGCACCATTTTTTGTGTGCGCACTAGTATTGTTGGGCGCCAGGCCTTTACCGAGACGCTTAGGGACCGAAGAAGGTTCTCTCGCTAGGGCATTGCACCCTGAGACCGGCTCCAAGTGTAAAATACGGTCAATTACCGTATTGCGCTCTTATTCATCCCGACATTTTATTCTAATAAATTCTCAGAGGGATTGTTTACCATTAAATCCGCGTTTATTATTTTAGTTAACCTTTTTCTCGTCTTGTGTATTCCGGAACCAGTTTCTCCGTATCGTGTCGCGCTGCCGAACTCCCCAGATCAGCCGTACTGTGAAAGATCGTAAGGTTCTCACGGGGTGAGTAGCTGGTCATGCACGCCCTGTAAGGTCCCGTCGACCGAACCGAGTTAAGGTGCTCCGGCAGCCGGGCCCTTGGGATTCCGTGGTGCGAATGCGCGTAACTGGAGCCCTTCTCAAATAAAGCGGAATTTTGGACAGACTCATCTCCGGACTTGACTTGCCGTTAACGATAATCAGGGCGTACGACTGTTTGAGGATAGGGAGTTGGAGAATCCCGTCGTATTACAAATAATATAAAATGCATTATTGGACCCATAAAAATGAATTTCTTCATTATCAATTGTAGAGTCAACATTGTAGCAGCAAATTTGTTATGGTTTGAGCCAATGATACCGTACCAGGAATAAACTTATAGCAAAATTCACTAAATTACAATTTAAAAGTTGACGTGCTAAACTTTTGCCGCGTCACGATTTCCTAAATTTCTGCCAATGGTTGCCTTTTTCGCGTATTTCAGGATCCATGGTCCGACCCGGGGGAGGGGGAAAGCGGATCTATAGTTGATTAATTTTGGTTGCGTCTTTTATTTTAGGTTAATTTGGCTATCGACGGGAAATCCAAATTTTCTGTGAAATATTCATCCATTTTCTGAGTTCCCGGGCGCGTTGTCGAGCTCTCGCAGGAATATTACGATAAATATTTGGTGGAGTGTTCGAGAGCTCGTAAATTTCTGAAACTCGTAACGAGACTCCGATCGTCAGGCCGGAGTATAAACACCGTCGACCTCACGGAGGTCGCGCGCGCGGTACCGCTCGTCACCCCAGCTTCAAGAGAGAAGCCGTCGAGGCAGCCGCGGCCAGCAAGGGGCCGGGACCGAATGCACCGGCCGTGGTGTCACTGGTCGTGCCCGTCGGGACCACCCAGAGGGTCAAGTCGGCCCTGCTACGCGCCCTGGATCTTACCTGCGAGGGCGCGCCGTAGACGGGCCCTGGTGACTCGGATAGGGCCGCGCGCAAGAACCTCGGGACTTCCCGGTCAGGAGTTGGACCTGGAGACAGGTGCTCCCAAAACGACCCTAAGCTGCCATCGACGAGGCGATGGATGAAGACCGCGCTCAGGGAAGGAGCCCGACTCCGTACTTTCCGGAGCACCCGGGGCTTGTCGGACGATCTGCCTCGGGTGAGCCAGGATCCCCCGGAGGGGTAGATTTCGACTGCTTCGCAAATCCAGGCGCACCACCGTTGCCCAGCAACCGCGCCACCGCTGCCCCCAGCCCTAGGAATTGGGCCAACGCATGCCGATTCCGCCAAATTCAGAAATCACGGAGCCTCTCGACCAATCAATGATGCGGATTAGGATTCGGACTGGCCAGCCGAATCTCTAATAAGGACAGCGCAGAGAGGTCCGGTCTTCTCTGCTTTTGACCGCCGGACCATTTGGATCGTCGTCTCAAGTACTCTTTTTGAGTCAGTATCTTTATCTCATTTTCTGGATGTCTACCATCGCCGAGGACTTCGAGGACTTTCCGGCACAGAGGGAGAATTAATTATAAGATAAATAGATTAAGTAGGGATTAAGAGACCCGGTCGGGTCTCGCACCGAGTACAAGCCGACCCACTGGGACTCTTTTACTTGAAGCAGCTGTATGCGTCTTATGAGCCTGTCTACCTGGAAGACCCAGAGTGGTTATGATTTTGCCCAACCCAATTTCACTCATTGCTTTTTTTTTTTTATCCGAAGGAAGAATTCAAATAAGAATTTGGCTGGATTTTTATCCTGTGAGATCAGGAAACTAAATAGGATTTTTATTTGTAGCATTACTCTATATAAAATACATTCTCAATAAATTTGTACCCCATCACATAGAAATAAAATTGTACTCGTTCATTTCAGTTAAGTCAAAATTAGCTTACAAATAATTTGATATCTTATGTAGTGATGTGACGAGTCGAATGCTTTACTAACTCGAGTTACTCGAATTTGAAAGCATTGCCAACACGGGTTTGGACTCGAGTCGATAACTCCATGCCATATACATTCGACGCGGGAAGTAGAGTATATGGCGAATTGGCGAGTAAAGCAATTCGGTTAACGGCGATTCGAGTCGAAGTGATATGACGAATCGACTACTTTATCGACACGAGTTAGTCAAACATTCCCAACTCGAGTCGATGACTCGATGCCGTATGTGTTCAGCGCAACGAGTCGAGTCAATGGCGAGTTGGAGAATGAAACAATCCAAATAACGATTATTCGAATAAACAAATAAGGCGCGATTAGTATCTTGGTACGAGTAATTCGGTCTCACTCTTATACTCGTAACTCGCAAGTATTAATACTTCGAGTTACAATAAAAATGACCCGAGTTGACTTGAATACATGCTTGACTCGAGTTTAACGTGTTAAAATACTCGACTCGTCACATCACTAATCTTATGAAATAAAATTAGCTCATTTCGGTAAAAAACCAATTTGAACTCTTAAAATCGGAGGTGAGTCCCCTAAACGTAATATATACTGTTATTCTTTCTTAAACGTGTAATGAATTATCGTTTTCTTGTTCGTTAGATCTTAAATATTTACAAACTTCAATGAGATTATTCGCTTTATCAATTCCTAATTGGTTTCTCAGTTTTTACAATAAATGGCCAAATTTGTAAAACATTACTTTGTATACTTACTACTAAAATAAAAAATAATGTATTTCTTTCCGGTCCCCCAATGCTATTCTTCTAAGTCGGTATTTGATAATTGTATTTAATTTCAATTTTAACAGATTCAATATGATTGGGTGAAGCATCGTCTTGGAATGGAAAGAAGGGTGGGAGACCTTTTTTCATCAGTCATGGGTGTTCTTTTTCTACTTGGATTATTAGTGCATGCATCAGAGACGATCGGAGGACATCAATGCGTGCCACTTTGCATTTGTAAGCTCGCCGGAGCTCAAGCAGAATGGCGCAAAGTTAAATGCGATGGTCACTCACATCCAATACAGGACCTGAAGGACATCAATTTCAATGACATTGCAGTTGAATTACTTCAATTGTAAGTTGTTTAATTGTTTAGTTGTTAATAAGTGGGAAAGAGGTAGAATAAAATTTACTGCAATTGAAATTAATGTTTGAATTTAATGAATAATATTTACCAGAGACTTGAGTTCGAATTCCATCTATGCTATTCAAGTTGATGTTTTCAAGAATTTAACGAATCTTAGACGTCTTGATCTCTCTGCTAACAAAATTACTGCATTGGATGAGGGATCCTTTCATGGATTGAAAAACTTGGAAAGACTGTGAGTAATTATATTGCAATTAATAATATTACCAATTTGTTAAGTGTCGTTAATTTATGAATATATTTTCAGAAACTTGAGCGAGAACCAAATTTCTGTAATTCATATAAATGCTTTTAGACATTTAACAAACCTGAAGACTCTGTAAGTTTACTGTTTGAAATGCTATATTTCTTTAATTTTATATTTGGTTTTATTTAACCTGTCTTTTTTGTTAGAGACTTGTCTGCAAATAAAATAAGTTCAATGGAGGCGTCCCTATTTCACGATCTGTTGGCGTTATTTCGATTGTAAGTAAGATTTATAATATTAATGTTGCGTTAAAGTACACTGTGTGACAACAGTTTGGAAACACCCCAAAATATGAAGGTTTCGGTATGGAACCAACATTTTTGTTCAAAATAATGTTTCCCGTGTTGTTCAGCGTCCTGAAAACCCCTAGTGTTCAAGGTCATATACATAATGTAACAGAATTGGTAGTCGCGATTTATACAGCGCTAACCTTGTTGGAAAAGGAATATAAAAGTTCTGTACTATTTTTTCCTACAGTGTATAAATTTCCTGTAATTACTAATTGAAGCACAGTCAATCAATCGCGTTTCCCAACGGAAGACATAGCGGACAGGACGCCGGTAGGTCTGCGTTCGGCTGTCTGAGGCATAGCAGCCTCACCGACGTCCTGTCCGTTATGAGTTCTGTTGGGGAGCGCGATTGACTGTGCTTCAATTAGTAATTACAGGAAATTTATACACGGTAGGAAAAAATAGTACAGAACTTTTCGACTCCTTTTTCAAGAAGAATAGCAGTGTATAAACCGTGGCTACTAGTTCCGTTAAACTCTGTAATAAATATCATGTCATATAAAATATACGATAAAGGACATATTTTTTGGATCGAAAACAAATTTTCAGATGAGAAAAATAATTTTACCAAGCAACAAAACAAACCAATAGTAAATTAATTTTAAGGTGAAGTGAAACTCTCTTCAAATCAGTCGATTCGAATACACTTTTTTTTAAGGGTATTAGACCGAATTATCAGAAACTTTGAGACATAACTCCTGATCATCTAAGAATTGTCCTGACATATTCCAAATTTGGATTTTTGGAACAAATTTTTTAACAGCCCAGATCAGAACCAAAATGGCGTCGAGCTCTCATATTTCGATCAATATACAATTATCGAAGGCTCTGATATGAGAAACGAAAGGGTCAGGAGAATTTTACGAGAATTTAGAACACTCTGGTAATCGATAAACTAACATTTGAACGGGATAAAGGCAAAAAAGTGTTGTATGCGCTTCTATGCTAAAATGATGGGAATACAAGGTCTCGGAGTGAAAATTAAATTGATCTGGAAATCACAGATGGCGCAGGGGGTCCCTCTGCAGTTAATTAGGGCGCTAGAAAACATGAATCCAGAGGATTTCTGCAGTTTTACTTCGATTTCTTGATATTTATTGTACGAAAACGACAGGTGGAGTATGCCATTTGGTACAATATCCAATATAATTCGACCCAGCTATCAATATGAAAACAAACGTCGGCAACGTAGGCATTTAAAAAAATCTTCTTTATCGACGTCGATCAAGTTCCTCAACGTGTTTCACTTCACCTTAATATTGTATTTCGCCTTAATTTTTAATATAAGTTCATTGTTCATGAGCGATTTTTCATAAAATTTATCAGCTTCTGAAAATAGCTTGTCTCAAAGTTCCGCCACGCACTCGGAATCGTCGGCCTCAGCTCTTACATACTCCTGTATTGTTTGTTGTTGTAAATTCATCGCACTAACATCCTCCATACGTTCAGTATGGGATTGCAATCCGAAGAACGCGCGGCCAAAGCAGAACATCAAGGTGATATTCCTCAAGCCACAGTTTTACTGCCCGGATATGATGAATTGAGACATTATCGTATAAACTCACGATTGCAGATACATAAAAATAGCGTCCCTGATATTAACACATAATCTCAGGCCATTGAGTAAATAGAATCGCCTTCAATTTGCATATGTTAAAACATGGACCTTAAGTAGAACAGGATAACATTTTCAATCTAATATTGCTTAACTCATTTGCATTACAGTTCTAAATGTTACTAACTTCATAAATCATGAAAAAATAAGTAAACTTCGTAGCTCGCGGATTAAAGTCATAAGTGATAAGTGATAATCATCACGTGCGGATTATTCTGTTTGCGAATGTAAACAGGTTCAAAACCGCAACAATTTTCAACGTTTTTTATGAATTTGCTTTTACATTATTTTCAGCGAAGAGAATAAATTCAATTTCAATAAAACTGATAGTTCCAAGTCCTCTTGGAGGAACTTCAGATGATATGAAAGGCGCTGAGAAATTTTATCGACGTCGATAAATTAAAATTCATCTATACCCTTTTCGGTGGTAACATCATTTTGAATACTCAAGTGGTTACATTAGCTGACGCCTCACTTTACCGAAATTTATATTTATGTTGAAGTCTTTTACACTCTACGTTGACTGTTACCGACGCGATGATTTCTACCCGTCGATTGTGGTTTTCCCCGGAAAACCACAAGAAACGAGAGGTCTGG